GAGAGAGAGAGAGAGAGAGAGAGAAAGAGAGAGAGAGAGAGAGAAATAAAAATCTTCTGAAATGGAGGTGCAATGGTGGCCTGTGCCTGTAATCCCAGCACTGGGGAGATGGAGACAGGATCTTTGGGACTTACTAGCCAGACATTACAGCTAAACCAGCAAGTTCCAGATTCAGTGAGAGACCTGTCCATAACTACAGCACTAGGGAGGCAGAGGGAAGCGGTCTGCAGAGAGTTGCAGGACAGCCAGAGCTGCATGGAGATACATGTTGGAAAGGGGGGGTGGGGTGGGGGGTGGAAGGTTGGCTGGAGAGATGGCTCAGCAGTTAGGAGCACTGGCTGTTCTTCGAGAGGACCAGATCGAGTTCCCAGCACCCACACGGCAGCTCACCATCATCTGTAACTCCGGTTCAGAGCATCTGATGTTCTCTGGCCTCCACCGCACCAGGCATGGACACTGCACAGACTTACATGCAGGCAGAAGGTGGAAGGTGACTGGAGATCCTCAAGGCTAACCTCTGACCTTCAAAGGTGTGTGCACACAAACTGTGGGGCTCAGACTGAAGATCAGTGACCCAATATGTGCGTATCGCAAAGCTGTGGCTCTGATGCTCACTACCAAAGAGCCCATTTAAAAACAAGTGTCACCAGGCCTTGGTGGCACACGTCTTTACTCCCATCACTCGGGAGGCAGAGGCAGGTGGATCTCTGTGAGTTCGAGGCCAGCCTGGTCTACAGAGTGAGTTCCAGGACAGGCTCCAAAGCAACACAGAGAAACCCTGTCTCAAAAAACCAAAATAATATTTTAAAAAATGTGTCCCAAACCAGGCAGTGGTAGTACACGCCTTTGATCCAGCACCCAGGGAAGCAGAGGCAGGCAGATCTCTGAGAGTTCAAGGCCAGCCTGGTCTACAGAGAGAGTTCCAGGACAACCAGGACTACACAGAAACCCTGTCTGGAGGAGGGACAGGGTATATATGTCCCATTCAGTAGTGAAGTGAGCCTAAGGACATTGGAGCCAGAGGAAGACCCGCAGCAGGCAAGGCCAAAGACAAAACAGTTAACATTGCAGAGTCTCTGTCCCACCAGCAGCCTCCAAATAATGATGTAGGGACTTCTGATTAATTATAAAGCTCAGCCTATAGCTTAGGCTTGTTCCTAACTAGCTCTTTTTGTTTGTTTGTTTTTTGAGACACAGTTTCTCTGTAGCTTTGGAGCCTATCCTGGCACTTGCTCTGTAGACCAGGCTGGCCTCGAACTCACAGAGATCCGCCTACCTCTGCCTCCCGAGTGCTGGGATTAAAGGAGTGCGCCACCAACACCCGGCTGCATTCAGCTTTTTTACTACACCAATCAGCAAATACATCTTCACACAGTGTACAAATATCCTGCATCACAATGATATTGGACTCTCTGACTAGTGATGCAGAGGACCAATGAATCTTCCTCCAAGGACAGTGATAAGCCTTCCCTGGGATTTAGGCTGTGCATCCTTAGAGAAGAGAGCTAATAGGATGTGCCCCCAGAATACTAGTGGTCCTCAGCTGCCAGTGCTGTCCGAGACAACCGGATCATAGTTTGCCAACCTCATGAGTTAATCCACAAGCTTGCAGCTCAGCAGACTGCTAGGGTGCTGGAGCTAGTTGGAGGAGGCATGGCCATGAGTGGTGTTTGGGCCCCTTTCTGTTGCCTGGCTGTCAGGAAGTAATCTGCTTTGTCATGCTGTCTCTGCCACGGTGTTCATCTTTGCTGCAGACCACAGTGATGAGCCCATCACTGTGGCTACAAATAGAGTGAGACCTCCAATGGCATGCACCGAAATAAATCCTACTTCTAAGTTGTCCTTGTCAAGTGTCTTGTAATACCAATGGAAAATTTGTTTTGAGACTGTTTTG